GGTATTTTTATGGAAGTGGGTTAACTAGAATAACGCATGCTGATCCGTATGCGCTATATTTTTTTAGCATTTGAATTGTTTATTAATTTTTAACTTTCTCTGATATTTAGGCTAAACTTTTTTTCGAATTTCTACTTCGTGTTTAACTTTTAATACAGTATTTGATTTTTTACATATTTTTTTCTACGGAACTATATATAAAATTCGCTTTAATTAAAAATGTACAATCATTATTTTTTTTTTGTTTATGTACGTTGTTGTATAATTCATATTTATATATATAGATATATAGTATTTTTTTATAGTTTTAATATCTTGCGTGTGCACAACAAAATTGGGGCAGGACTTATGAATTTTTTTTACAAAATAGGGCTTTACAAAAATGTTGCGGAAGGGGGATAAAAATAAATGATTTACAGATGGGTTTACAAAAGAACATGCATGAAAGTGGATAACTATGTAGGGTTTGCTTTTTTTTATAGGACACTTTGTTGCTGCTGGAAGTAAACGATCGCTGAATCGTTTCTCTCTCTCCCTATATATATGTATGTATATAGTCGGATCTACATATATATATATATGTGTGTTTCATATACATATATAGCTTGGTCGAACGCTGGCTTTATGATTATCATCTAACCTCACAGTCTTTTTTCAGTGGAAGTAAACCGCCTGTGCGGCTGCCGTTGCTGTTGTTGCCGTTGTTATTGTTGTTGTTATTATTATTGTTATTGTTGTTGTTGTTGTTCGAATTGCTGTTGCAGGAATTGCTGGACGCGGACCCGGACCCGGACCCGGAGCCAGAGCCACTGGCCGACGGCAACGAATTGTTGCTATTATCATAGTTGCCCACATTGACGCACAGCGGCGAGGTGGGTCCAACACCGACACCAACAACATCAGCACCAGCCACGCCTCCACCAGCACCACTGACGACCGAGGCAGCCGTTGCACCGCTGCTCTCTGGCAACGAGGTGGAGTCATGCACATCCGCACTCTTGCTGCTGTCGATGACCAGGCAGGGCGGCGAGGGCGTGCTCGTATCCTTGCCCAGCAGTGCAGGCGAGGCATTCGCGTTCTGGGAGTGAGGCGTGAAGCTGCTATTGTTGTTGGTGAGCGATGGCGATACACCGACACCGACCAGTGGCAACAGCGGCAGCTCGGCGGGCGCCGCCGGGGAAACGGATGGCGCTGGCGTTGGCTCCTTGTTGTCCGTCTTGGCACCGATGACATAGGCGCCTCCAGCTGAAATACGCGCGATCTTCAGGCGCAGCGGAGCCTCCATTTGCTGCTGCTGCGGCTGCGGCTGCGGCTGCTCTTGCTGCGCCTGTTGCTCCGCGTTGATTTTCGTGGTGGTCGTTGTCTCCGCCTTGCGCTTGTTGATTCGCAATATGAGCTTTGGCTTCTCGCCAGGCGAGTCGCTGACCGTGTTCTCAATCAGCGTGGTGGTCATGGTCGTCAGGGTGGTGGTGGTGCTGTTGTTGTTGCTGAACTGCAGCAACTGTTGCTGCTGCTGCTGCTGCTGCTTGAGGCGCTTCTTCTCCTTTTTGTCCTTCTTCGGCTTGTCCTTCTTGTCCTTCTTCGGCTTGGCCAGCAGCGTCTCATTGTCGCCCGCCAGCTCCCGTTTGTTGTTGTCCTCGCCCTTGTCAAAGTCCTGCATTACCTTCTTGCGATAGTTCATCGAGTCGCGCTTGATCTCCTCCAGCGTCGGGGTGCTGTAGTTGCTCGTGAGCCGCTTCTTGGGCGGACAGGCCCGTCGCGTCATCTCGTAGCTGTAGCTGCTGCTGCTGCCATCCAAGCCGCTGACCGACAGCCCGGCATTCGTCTCATTTGTGGCTGGCAGTCCGCGAATCTTGATCTTCAACTTGGGCGCCTGGTGGTCATCCTCGCTGCTCTCCAGCGTCTTGCTACGTCCACGTCGCTTGCCAGCACTGCTCGCCGCCCCCGTTTTGCCATTGTCCGCGCTGCCCGAACTGCAGGCGCTGCGCCGCCGGCCATCTCCCGACGGCTGCGCTCCAGCTGCACCACCCGCCGGCAGCTGCTCCTCGAGGCAGGCATTCGCATCGAGGGCACGCAGCTCCCTGTTGCTGGCGGTCTTCTTGAAGCGCTTGGTGGTGCCGCCGCCTGCCGGCAGCTGCTGCTGTTGCTGCTGCTGCTGCTCGTCGTCCAGCTCGCTGGCATCCGACTTGCGCATGTTCTCCAGCGGCTGGCTGTCCGAGGCAGCGGGCAAGCCACAAGAGCTGTCGTCGTTCAGCGTATCCTTCTGCACCACATACAGACTGAGCAGCTCCTTCTTTCGCATGCGTCGCGAGTTTCCGCTCACGCTCAGCGTGCAAGCCGCCGAGGTGCTGGCCACAGTGGCGCCGCTCAGCTGTGCTGTGACGGTGGTTTGCACCACATTCGCCTGCACCAGGCTGCCACTGCTGGACAGACAGCTGCTGTTCGTGACGCTGCTGTAGTGCAGATCCGGATAGGCGAGCGGCTCCTTGATCTTAAGCTTCAGTTGGTTCAGGGCAGCCTTGGTGGTTAGCGTGGTGGTGTCTGAGTCGATGGATATTTCCTCCGACGTGGCCTCCAGTGAGGCTTCCAGTGCAGGCACCACCAGCTCGGAGACGAGCTGGTTAGTGGGCGGGGCTTGATTCGCTTCACTGGATTGCAATGCGCTGCTCAACAGGCTGCTAGGAGCTGCACCACTCGCAGCAGTGGCTCCACTTGGTGGTTTATTGGGCGAGGTGTTATTGCTGCTGCTGTTATTATTATTGGCGGTGGTGGTGCTGCTGCTGCTGGTGGTTCCAGTGGCGCGCAATGCCGACTGAAACTGTCGCTCGTCCTCCTCGTCGAATTCGCTCAGCGTCTGATCCGCAGTGCCCGAGTCGAAGGCGCCCAGGAGATTGTTCTGGTAGGCTTCCTGGGAGGCGGTGCTGTGCGGTGCCTCGAAGCCAAGATTGTAGGTGCGCATATCCACTGGGCCGGGCAGCACGGGCTGCACAATCGCATGCAGCAGGGGATTATTCGCCTTGTTCTGGCCACGCAGCTTGCAGCTCGAGTAGCTGGTGGTGTTGCTCGGCGCCGCTGCACCGCCGGCTGCGCCCGCATTCGGCGTGCGCAGCTCGAAGCTGCGTCGGCGATCGCGCAACGACTGCAAGTTCTCCACGCCGGGCCCGCTCAGCTCGTCATCGTAGTTGTTGAACTCGTAGGGCGTGCCCACCAGGTTGCTCACGATGTGCGTGTTCCGGCCGTAGTCGGCAATGGCAGGCGGCAGCGGGAGAATGGTGTTGGCTGCATTGCCTCCTCGGCCACGGCCACGGCCGCGTCCTCGACCGCGCGTGCCCGTCTGCGAGCCACTGCCACGCGGCGCCCGCTGACGCGGCTTGCCTGTCAGCGTGTGCGTCAGCGGATCGTATTTCGGCACTGCCGGCGCGGGCGTGACTGTCGGCGTGGGCGTGGCTATGGGCGCCGGCGGCGTGGGCGGCGGATGGAGCGCGACAGGTTGCCTGGGCGATTTGCCAGGCGACTTGCCCTGCGGCAGCTGCGGCGATTTGTGCTGGAGCTGCTGCTGTTGCTTCTGCTGCTGCTGCTGTTGCTTGGCGGAATTGTTGCTGCCTCGCTTGGTGGGCGAGATGCTCTCCTTGCTGGGCAGGGGCAGCGGCGGCAGGGGTGGAGCGACGGGCACAGCTATGGGCACCGCCACAGGCACGGTTACGGGCACGGGCACAGGCACCGCCACGGGCACAGGCACCGCCACGGGCACAGTCACCGGCAGCGGCACCTGCACTGGCTGCACCTGCTCCACCGACTGCTGCTGCTGCTGCTGCTGCATCATCGCGGGCAACTGCTCTGCACAGCTGCTCAGCAGCGGATAAGGCGTTAGATTGCCATCCACTGGATACTGATGATTGGGCGTAGTGGTCAGCGTCAGATTGGGCGTGGCATAGGGCGTGCTCACATAGGGCGTATTGGGCTGTGAGCTGTTCCCGAACAAGGTCTGGGCGCTCGGCTCGGCAAGCGTTGCCTGCACCACCTGCTGCTGCTGCTGCTGTTGCTGTTGAATGATAGCCGCCAGCTGTGGATAGATGCCGCCATTGTATTGACTGTTGGGCGTTCGCTGTGGGTGAGTGGGCGTGGTCTGCTGCTGTTGCTGCTGCTGCTGCGTCGCACTGTTGTACATGGACATGGCATCGATGCCATTGACGAGCGGCGTATGGCTGCCAAAGGCATTGCCCGCACTGCTGCCGGATACTGCGCTGTTGTTATTGCTGGCTGGAGCACCCTGATTAACCGTTGGTCCGGCTCCAGCTACGGCTCCGGCTCCAGCCGGCGCACTGACCGCCGCCGCAGCATAGCTGTTGAAGTAGCTCTTGTCCAGCTGCTGGGCCAGCTGGCTCGGCGGCTGATCGTTCGACTCGGACACCGAGCTGGGCGAACTGCTGCGCCTGGCTGCGATCAAATCGTTCTCATTCCAGCGCTGCATCCCGCCAAATGGCGACTGCATGCGCGTGTTCTCGTCGTAGTCGCTCAGCTTGTTGTTCGACTGCGAGTTGGACGAGTTGATGGCTGCATTCGCCTGCGTCGGCAGCGAGGAGGCGCCTCCTGCAGCACTCGCTGCATAGCCGCCCAGGCTGTTCTTCACAGCCGCCGCAGCCAGATCCACAAAGTCGGGCGTGGGCGGTGGGGCGGCCACTGAGACGGGCGTGGTGGGTGTCGCAGTTGGAGTCGTGGCCAGCTGGTTGCCGTTGCTCGGCTTGTGCGCCAGCTGCGGCGAGGATTTGTTCAGGTAGCAGCTGTAGTTGACGTTGCCGTAGCCCAGGTTGTTGGCACTCGCATTTGTGGTGGGCGTGGCATTGGGCGTATTGGTCAAGCTGTTGGCATAGCTGCCTCCACTGTTGGCCGTCAGGGGAGAATCCTTGATGGTCAGCTGACTGGCCACCGAATTGGGCGCCGAGTTGCCAAAGAGGCAACTCTGTTGCTGCTGCTGCTGCTGTTGCTGCTGCTGTTGTTGTTGCTGCTGCTGCTGCTGCTGGAGCTCCTTTTGCGCATGGATCAGATCTTCAGGATCAGCTGCATTGTGAAAGGGAAACACCGAGGGTATCGCTGGCGTGGGCGGCAGCAGGTCCAACGAGTCCTTGCAATCGTCCAGCATTGGCTTGCGCTTCGTCTTGCGCAACTTCTCGACGAGATTACGCGTCGCCAGCGTGCTGTCCTCCTCGAAGATTTGCTTGCTGCCGGCGCCAGGGCCGCTGCTATCGAGCAGACTGCTCATGGGACCCGAGTTGGGCGGATTCAGGACATTAGCCACATTGGTGGCAAAGCTGTTGGTATACTTGCTGTCCTCCATCTCCAGAATGGTATCCACAATGGGCTGATCCAGCTCCGAAGTGGCGCAGCGTGTGGCAACAGCCTCCGGCAAAGGCAGCGACTGTGGCTGCTGCTGCGGCGGTTGCTGCTGCTGCGGCGGTTGCTGCTGTTGCTGCGGCTGCGCTTGCTGTTGCTGTTGTTGTTGCTGTTGCTGCTGCTGCTGCTGCTCGCCTGAATTGGAGTTCGAGTCCAGCTCAATGATCTCTGGCGGCTCGGGTGGAATGACCGTGACAGCAGGCGAGGACGTGGATGCGGAGTATATGCGGAGTATTGCATTCACCATCAGCTCATTCTTGCGCTCCTCCTCCAGCTCGCGCAGATTTTCCATCTCGTTGAGCAGATGCTGCGTGTGATGCGTGTGCTGCTCCTCGTCGTCCTCGTCGCGCGTGCGCCGGCGTCTGCGGCGCGAGCGCCAGGTATGGCTGCGACGGCGCTCGCTCTGATCGCTGCCCGCCTCATCGGAGAGCTCATCGTTCGAGGGCGTGGGTGTGGGCGAGGCGGGCAACGGAGCTGCCGGCGGCCGTTCATCGATGTCCGCCGCCGAGAGCTCCGCCAGTTTGCTGGCGTTGGCCGAGAGCTGGGTGTGGGTGGGCGCCGTGGTTAGCTCCTCGTCAATGTCCATGGGCTGTTCGCCCGACTCCTGCTGCGCAGTGGATGGCCGCTGAGTTTCCGCCTCGGGACTCGGCGCTCTTTGCTTGGCTGGAGGCGTCGGTGTTGTGGTAGGCGTTGCTGTGGGCGTCGGCGTTGGCGTGGCATTGTTCAGCTGTTGCTGCTTCTTGTCGAGCAGCTTATCCAGTGCACTCGTCGTCCGACCCGTCGCCGCCTTACGCTGCGCAATCTCATGCTCCAGGTTGGGCGGCGTCTTCTTCGGCGATTCCGCACGAGACTTGCGTCGGGAAGCAATTGGCTTCTCCGGACTGGCCTTCGCTTGGCTGACCACGGCAGGTGAGGGCGGACGCGACTTGGAATTGCGTGTGGCACGTTTACTCACCTCCGGCGGCGTCTGCTTGCTTAGATCGTCCAACGAGGATTTGCGCCGCTGCGACGATTTGGGCGTGGCATTTGGCTCCGGCGCTTGCGACTTTTGCGGCGTTCTCTTTGGCGATTTATTTGTGGAATTCTGGCGCGTTCGACTGGACAGAGGTGCAGATGGAGCTGCAGCTGGAGCCGGAGCGGGCTTGTCCAGCGACTTGCGCGGCGAACGCTTTGGCACAATTGAGCTAGAGGCGGAGGCGGAGGTGGAAGTGGAGGCTGATGCGGAGGTGGAAACAGAGTTGGATGCGGATGCAGAGGTTGAGGCAGCAGCTGTGGTTGTTGCCGCCGCTGCTGCTGCAGCTGGCGGCTTGCGCTTCTCCTGGACTGGCGGCTCGCTGTCGCTGTCCGAATCGCTGCCGCTGCCGCTGCTGCTGCTGTCGCTGTTGCTGCTGGAGGAGTTGCTGCTGCTGCTGTTGCTATCACCCGAGCTGGTGCTGGACAGATTAGGCGGTGCAATGCGTCGCTTGACAGGCGCTGGTGCAACCTCCTCCTTGGAGCGCCGTCGTGGCGTCTCCTTCAACAGCGAGTTGCGACGCACTGGCGTCGTCTGCTGCTGCTGCTGCTGTTTGGCGGACTTGAGGGGCGACGTGTTTGATGTTGTCGCTGCTGCTCCTGCACTCGCTCCTGTCGCCAGCTCCTCATTGGCAGCACTTGTGCTCGACTCTTGGCTTGATTTCACCAACGCTGCGCCGCTGCTCTTCAGCTGTTCGGCTGCCTTCTTGGCGGCCTGTCGCTGTGGCACATACGAGACGGCAAAGTTGCCCAGCTTGGCCAGCTCATTGTTCTTGGGTGCTGGCTTTTCCTTCTCCTTCTCCTTTTCTTTTTCCTTTTCCTTTTCCTTTTCCTTTTCCTTCTCCTTATCTTTCTCCTTCTCTTTCTCCTTCTCTTTCTCTTTCTCCTTCTCTTTTTCCTTTTCCTTTTGCTGCTTGGGCGGTCGGCCCCGCTTGCCACGCTCCGCCGTCGTCTCGCCCGCCGCCTTGCCCGTCGTCTTCTGCAGCTCCTTCGGTCGCGCTTTATCCGCCTCGAGCACGCGGTTGGCTGCCTCCTTGGCCTTGCTCTTCGAGCTGCTACTGCTGCTGCTGGTGGCATTGGACGCGCTTACTCCAGCGCTGCTGCTGCCTGGCTCCGGCTCCCTCAATCGCTCGTTGGCATCGGGCAGCAGCGCAGTGGCGAGATTCGTGGAGATGCGCATATTTTCGCTTGCCTTCTTGGCCGCCTGCCGTTGAGGAACCACCAGTAGATCCACGGGCGGAAAGACGGGTGCATTGGCTTTCGATTTGTTGGCCTTTGATTTGCTTGTCGTTGTTACTGCAGTTGTTGTTGTTGCGCCAGTTGTCGCTGTCGCTGTCGCTGCCGTWGTGCCTGGCACAAACTCCTTCATGGCGGCCTTGGTGCGTATCGTTTGCTGATTTTGTGAATCGCTCACATTGCTCTCGGCTGCCGCCTGCTCCTCCTCCTCCAGCCGCTTGGGCACCTCACGCTCCGGCGTCGTTGTCGTCGAGCTATCCGAATCGGAGTAGATGTGCTGGCCCGGCTTGCGCAGTGCTGTTGTCGCCGTTGCTCCGGCCAAAGCTGGAGTGGAGTTTGAGTTCGCTGTGCTCGCATTGTGAGTCCGCCCGTGTCGCTCGCCTAGCTTCACAGGCAGCAGCTCCTCACTTTCATCGCTGGACAAACTGTTGGGGTCCTGCTGCCGCATTTCCTTGTCCATCTGAGCAAGGCCGCGCGTCGCTGTGGGCGCTGTAGATGATGAGGCTGTGGCGGCGGCTGCTGCAGCTGCTGCTGCTGCTCCACTACTGGACAGTTTTCGTCGAGCTGTGCTCGTTGCAGTTGTGCTTTGCTTTGACTTAGTTGCTTGACTTTTGGCAGGTACTGTTGCGGTTGCTGTGGCTGTGGCTGTGGCTGTTGTTGACTTGTGGACACGCTTGACACGCTGCGTCCGCTCATCGTTGTCGTCGCTGGAGGAACTGCTGCTCCTGCTCCTGCTTCTACTGCTGCTGCTGCTGCTGCTGCAGCTACTGCGTGCATTGGCAGACGCAGCAGACGCACACGCAGCTGCCTCACTCTGACGCCGCTGTCGCTGCTTCTTGCGCTGCTCAACGCTGCGCGCATAGGATTGCTTACGCGCGGGCTTGGCTGCTCCCGCTGTTGATGTGCCTGTGGCAGTGGCTGTACCTCCTCCTGGCTGGGCTTTACTGCGATAGCTGCGATAGCTGTGGCTCTCATTGCCTGAATCGCTTTCGCTGCTGGAGTCGGAGCTGCTGTTGCTACTGCTGGCGCTGCTGCTGCTGCTGCCGTGCGCCGAGCTGGAATCAGCCGATGACGAGCTGCCGCTAATCGTTGGGGCGGACGCGCGGCCAATAGCATTCGAGGATTTAGACAATTTATGCTGTTGCTGCTGCTGCGTTTGCTGTTGTTGTTGATGGCTCGACGTCGCCGTCGTTGCCGGGCCGCTCTTTGAGGCACGCCTCCCCGCACACGGCACCGCCGAAGACGCCGTTGTAGGCGCCCTTGGCGAGCCACGTGACTTGGGTGCTTTGTTAGCCATTGTTCCAGCTGCTGTTGCAGATGCTGATGTTGATGTTGCTGTTGTTGTGTTTGTTGTTGTTGTTGTTGTTGTTGTAGTTATTGCACCATTGTTGAGTTTCTTTTTGGGCGAGCCCTTGCTAGCCGCCGCCTGCTGTTTGCGCTTGTTGGGCGATTGAGAGGCGCGTCCACGTGCCTGCTTCTTACCCTTTAGCTGCTCCAATATATATTCCAAGCTCTGATACTGTGCCGGCACAGTTAGCTGATCCGAGCTGTAGAACCGATCGTAGAGAGTGGGTCCATCGTTTGCATAGAGTATGGCATCTGTGTCCAATGCGGGCTGCTCCTTGCTGTTGTCCGTTGCRCCCGACTGCTGCTGCTGCTGCCGCTGCACAACTGCATCATCCAGCACRGCGAGCTGCTTGTAGAACACYTGCTCGCGCAGCTTGAACAGCGAACGCGACAGCTTCTCACGTCGACTGACCATATAACAAAGATTACGCACGCGCTCCAAGTCCTGGCGTAAGTGTACAACCAATTTATGATTCTCGAGATCCTGTTGCTCCTGCTTGCGTGCGAGCATCTCCACATCCTCCGATTTAGGTGGAATCAACTCACGATTATGTCGTGACTTGCGCTTCAGTTTCCAGTAATTATAAATGGCCTCAATGGCGTCCTCATCCACATCGTACAAGTGATAACTAATATCATTGATATTCACGTGTTTATCAAACTCCGCTTCGACCTCCTGAATAATGATGATACATAGACAAATATATAGACATATACACATATAACTGTTATCAATCTAACAATATAAATTGTCATATATAATTCACCTGTAATCTTTGCGCACGCGCCTGGTTGCGCTCTTCTGAGGTCATATCGTTCTTGCGATGATGGTTTTTGCGTCTTCGGTGATCTTCGCCTTTGGCACCTGCTGTTTGCCCCTCCTCGCCAGCATGCCCACTGCTCGACGAGAATTTGTTGTTATGCTTTTGCATGCAACTGGATGCGGATGTATGCGATGCGTGCGCACCCTCCTTTTTGCCCTTGCTCATGCTATGCTTTTGACAGTAGGAGCGCAGCTTCACACCATCCTCGGCATTCCCCTCCTCGATAATGGCGCGCATCTCGAGCCCGTGCTGAAACGCACAGGTGACATGGTAAGCCGTCTTGCACGTCTTCACCGAGCACTGTATACAGCTGCCCACACGCTCGCGACAAAGCACACAGATCAATGCCCAACGACTTTGAGGAATGCTTGAGATTTTCGTTATCGGCTCCATTCGATCGACACAGCCAATGCTAACTTCTGGTATCCATAAGGCGCAAGAGACATGCGCCCAATGCTTTCCCGATTTATTAGATTTCATGGCGCCTCCCTTGTTGGGACAAAGCACACACTCTGGCTTAATGCCCATCGAACAAGTGCGACAGAGCCACTGGCCTGGAAAGCGATTATGAGTGAGTGATTTAGTATTGGCTCCAAGGAAGGTTTCACTCTTTGTATTACCTGATGGAATCGCTGTAATGCCGTAACAAGCCTGATGCACACAGATGTTGCAATTATCACAGAATACCATTTCGTTGGCCTCCTCGGAGTCGGGCGAGCGACAAACATCACATATAACATTTTCATCAAACTCAATGCCCAGACCCTCCTCCTTCTTAAGTATGACCTGGATTTGCTCCCAGCAGCGAACCTAATCAAGAGATAATTGAGCATTGGTCAAGATTTTTAGCTTTATCGTATAACAATCTACCTCCAGATCCTCGATGACCCGCTCGAACTGCGTTTCGTTAATGGGAAATGCTCCGCATTGTGCTCGATCGGCATTATATAATCGCAGCCAAGCCTCATCGATGGGATCGATGTCATAGGCACATGTGTTCTCCGCCAGTGCAACAACATTCGTCAGACAATGCAGGTCCGGCGAGTAATGTTCATCTTTGGTGATGCGCAGGAAACGATTTTTTGGACTGCAATAAGAATGAAAATATATGAATACAGTACTCCCTACCTATATATATATATATAAACATGTATATTTATTTATATGCTATATATCTGAATATCTTTGGTTTAACCAAATCCTTACAGTTTAAAGTCATGCGCTGGCGATACAATTGGGTCGGACAGCACATAGACACACGGCTCGGGCAGCGAATCGGGATTGACGGGCACCTGTACGCCCTTCTCCCATTCCTGTTTCCATTGATCAGTTACAATCAGATACTCGGAGTTGGCCAATGGCTCTGAGTCTGGCAATTTCATTGCGCTAATGAGATCCTTGCTGTAATAGAGCATAAAATGGGCATATTAGAAGCAAGTTTTATAGAYTTAAAATATATATATATTGATTTCTCTTGGACTTACCGATACAGTTCAGCTGGCGCTTCGGTTGAGCTTCGATTGTAGATGCTCGACATTTTGATATCGGCCACGGAGCGCGCTTGCCAGGTGTTGCTGCTGTTATTGTTGTTGCTGTTGTTGTTGCTATTGCTATTATTGTTGTTGCTGTTGCTTTGCGCTTTACTTTTGCTGGCCGATTTAGCCTTGCTCGGCAGCTTCGATATTGACTGTTGGTCGCTGACAGCAACTGTTGCTGCAGCAGCAGCAACTGCTGTCGTTGATGTTGTCGCTGTTGCTGCTGTTGATGACGCTGTTGCTGTCGCCGGCGCTCCATTGGGCGGCCGTCCTTTTCGTCGCTTTGTGGGCGGCGGCTGCGGCTCAACGTCTTGTCGCTGCTGCTGTTGCGGCGGCTGCTGCTGCAGCTGTTGCTGCTGCTGCTGCTGCTGATTACCGCGCTTACCTCTTTGTGACATTTTTCATTTGTGTGTTGTTTCTCTTTGTTTGTGTGGGTGTGTGTATATATTTTATTGGTTATGCCTTGTGGAACCTCCTGCGCTGAGGGGTTCGACTTGTGCTACTTAGACCGCCCGCTTTTGTTGCTCAACTGCGACCTATGGATGGGTTGAACGGAGGTGCAGGAAGGGCAGTTGTTAATTAAGTGATGCAATTTATTATGGACATTTCTTACTACATGCTTAAGGCCACAATTGGCGACACCACAGCCACACCGCCGGCTGTTGTTGTTGCTGTTGTTGCGAGCTCCGCTGCTGTTTGTTGTTGTTGTTAATTGAATTGTTATCGTTATTGTTGTAATTATAGTTCTTGTTGTTGTTGTTGTTGTGCTGCTGCTGCTGCCGCCCGTTTAACATGGACGCCGCTGCCGCTGCACCAGCACTAATCCCGAGTAGCGCCGCCACTTTGCAGTCTGTGCAATGCACTGCTATAAGCAATAGATGCGCGCTACCGCTACCCCTCCTTCGATTTCTGTTTCTTCGACCGTTTGCTTCACTATTTTTGTTTTTGCACGCACTTTGTCTCTGTGTGTGTGTATGAGTGTATGCTAAGGCTTACACTTTTGTTTTGTTCACTGCCCGCCTAAACGAAAAGAACACACTTAAATTATATTTGCGACTAACCGATTTTCGATTTGCAAACTTTTTTCTTGTACATTTTCTATGCGCTTTTCGTCACAAAAAATACACAAAAAAGAGAAGAAAAAAACCTGAAACTGACAGTAAAAAGGAAAATATCAAAACGCGTGTGGCATAGCAAAAGCTGACTGCTGTGTAACTCAAACAACACATTAAATGCCATCCCAAAAAATCCATCTATCTCGCACGCTCGTTTTAAGGGCGCGCGCATTCGCGGCATTGGTGTGAGAGAGATGGAATTGACCGTGCGTGCTGCAGCCGTCAGCTTTTGTGCAAACGTCTCATCCGCTCTTCAGCTCACTGCTCCCCCCTCTTTCATTCACATTCGATTCGACGTTTTTGCACCTATTTTTTTTTCTTACTTTTTATTGTAGTAATATTATTTGTTTTTGCAAATTGCACATTTTAAGAATGCATGCGAAATTATGCCCGTGCCCGCTGGTTGGCATTGTCGCCACATTTGTTGCTTTGTTTGCTGCCTGTTTTGGTTGTCGCGTTCGAGCGAATTTCGATTGGGATATATTACTCTGGGCTTTGCTTTTGCCGCCGCAGACACACACGCGAGCACTTTGTGGTAGTTGAAATAGATCTAGCAAACAAATTGCACATTACATTTATTATGCACTCGCGTTTCGCGCAATTGGCATAATGTTTGCGACAAATATGCAATTTTTTTACGGATTATTTACAAGATTTTCTTCTCGGTTTCCTTTTCTACGTCTGCCATTTTGCTTTTCGGCTTATCGATTATTAGAGCTGTACCGGAATCGATTATCGATAGCGGCTCTCTGCTTTTGTTAGTTCGTTCTTTCACTTATCGAAACCAGCTTCAATCCTTGGTTCGCGGAACCGATACAACGCGCACAACAAAAACAACTCCTAAATATTAAAATGCTAATGTTTATTGAGAGCTAAGTAACTCAATGTCTGAGAAGTCAAAGTATTTAAATATTTGGTTATTTCTCTATTGTTGTTAATTATGTCGCTTGTTGTCGATTTATTATAAATAAGCCTTCGTTGGACACGCCGATGTCACTGGCAATTTGTTATCGAATAACTGTCAACCACCGAAAAAAAAAATAGCAAACGAAGAGAATATACAGAAGCGCAAAAAACAGTTCGCACAAATTTTTTTACATCATAAAATAATGTAAGGAGATGCTCGCTGGCAAATAGTTATTGCGACTTACAGATTAAAACAAACGATAAGCACTTTAGTGAAACCGTCCGCACGAAGCTGCGCTAGTGCAAATGCATTTCTTTGTCTGCACTTTGCTGGAATAAAGTTCTCGAACAAACGTTTTTTTTTGTTCGGTCGAGTGCGAATAAAAATTCCTGAAAAATGTCAACAACTCCAAATTCCAATAGTAGTGGTAGTAATAGCAACAACAACAACAACAATAAGCAAAAACARCAACAGCAACAGGATACATACAGTGACAGCAGCAGCATCGAAGAGAATTTAGAGGCTGCCGAGGAGCGTCGTAGGCGCATCCTAAAGAATCGCAGTCGCAGCAGCACCTACATGCAGAGACAGCAGCACACCGCTATGAGCGTGAGTAGTGGTGCGATTTCCAAACATGACAAGTCGATGACACCAACGACAAGCAGCGCAGCCGCTGCCGCCGCTGCTGCAGCAGCTGCCACAGTGCGTTTGGGTCCACCGGAGCGCATATCGATGTTGGTGGATGGCGTACGCTTCACAGTGGAGCAAACGCTGCTCACCGCACATCCCAATACCATGTTGGGCACGATGTTCGGCACAGGCTTTCAATTTGTTCATCCCAATGAGCGCGGTGAATATGAATTAGCGGATGGCATATCTCACTTGGTGTTCCGTTCCATACTGGAGTATTACAAAAGTGGAGTTATTCGCTGCCCGCCCACTGTATCGGTGCCTGAGCTGAAGGAAGCATGCGACTATCTGCTAATACCCTTTGACGCGACCACTGTGCGCTGCCAGAACCTAAGTGAGTATGTTGTTGCTGCTGCAGCTGGGCGTCTCTTAGTCAAGTGCCGTCCCCCGTTTCTTGCTTTTCTCGTTTGTTTTTACTTGATCTCTCTGTGCTACACCAAAAAGGAGGCCTGCTTCATGAGCTGAGCAACGAGGGAGCCCGCCAGCAGTTCGAAGTCTTTCTTGAGGATTTGATATTGCCTTTAATGGTTGCCTCAGCACAGCGCGGCGATCGCGAATGCCATGTCGTAGTACTGCTCGATGACGACATGGTCGACTGGGATGAGGAATTCCCCCCGCAAATGGGCGAGGAGTATTGCCAGAGTATGTCCAACATATATAAATATGTTTTATTTCTCATCATTCTCTATCTGCAGCTGTGCACAGCACTGCCATGCATCGTTTCTTCAAGTACATCGAGAATCGTGATGTGGCCAAGCAGGTGATGAAAGATCGAGGATTAAAGAAAATACGCTGCGGCATTGAGGGCTATCCCACACACAAGGAGAAGATTCGTCGACGTCCTGGCGGCCGAGCTGAAGTCATTTATAGTTACGTTCAGCGTCCATTCATACACATGTCGTGGGAGAAGGAGGAAGCCAAGAGCCGTCATGTCGATTTCCAGTGCGTTAAGTCCAAGTCTGTTACGAATCTCGCCGAGGCGAATGCCGATCCACCTCTGGAACTAGATGCAAGTGAGTACGACTTAGTGTGAGTACTCTTTTATTTGGTTGATAACTATTTGGCATTCACTCTGCAGGTGGCAATCCCATTCCACCGCCCGCCATAGCTGTTGTGAATGCTCATGTTGATCTGGCTGCACCTGCTGTTGGCCTGGTTGGTGTGGGCGTGGCGGCTGATGTTGTTGTAGCTGTGGATGAAGCCGCCGGCGGCGTCGTGCTAAACGAGCAGGATCATGCAGCCGCAGCAAATGCTCCACCCGGCATCGTTGATGAACACGTGTAGAGATCGACCCCAAGGGTTAGAGTTTATACACTGCCATCTTAGCTAGCTGCACGCACCCTCTCGAAGCAAGGCTTTGTACGTTTTGAAACCGAACTTTTTGTATACACTATCGAAATATAACGAACACATAAATTATAACATACCATTTATACGTTAGCCAAAAAAGAACAGCTGCAACTCGGATGCACTAACAGCTACCCTTTCAGGTCGTCTGCTCCTTAAAGATGTTGTTACTGAGTAGCTCCTAGTCGGAGAGTCTTGATTTAGACCTTCTGTACACCATACCTTGCTTCAATTTCAACAACAAAAACAATATTTTATTGAATTAAATACAATTTGCCATGGTTATGCTTTTGGAAGCTGCCGCAGCTTAAACACCATCAAAGGATTCGCGTTCGCCTTGAGCAAGCGAGGAGGTCTCCCAGTTCAGAGATCTCTCGATGGCCATCTTCCATTTCTGGTAGCGCAAATTGCGTTCCGTGGAATTGATCTTCGGCTTTACAACATCGCGTTCATCCGATTTGGACAACGGGCCTTCCATATTATACTGCGGAGCAATCGTCTTATAGGCAGCCATTGCAGCGCCCTGGAAGAGATTAAGTAAGTAAGCAAGAACTGACCAGAATTGGGTTTGGGCCAATGAGTTTTAACGTACCAGCGCTGTGGTCTCCGCAATCTTGGCGCGCAGCACATGAATGCCAACCAGGTCGGATTGTAGCTGAAGGAACAGATTGTTGACAGTCATGCCGCCATCGACCATCAGCTTAGCGAGTGGTATTTTGCAATCCTTGTGCATGGAATCAAGTATGTCGCGCACCTGGAAGCAAACAGCCTCCAGCGTGGCTCTCACAATATGCTCACTGGTTGTCTCCTCGCTCAGGCCACATAGCACGCCCCTTGCATCCTGATTCCAATAAGGAGCATACAGGCCATTGAACGCGGGCACAAAGTAGACATCCAGCGAGTTATCCACCATGCTGGCCATCGTCTCGATTTGGCCCGTATTCTGTATGAGGCCAATATTATCTCTCAGCCAATTAAAGGCGGCGCCGGCAATGGACACACTGCCCTCCAGGGCATAATAGGGCGAGGCCTTGCGACCTAGTTGATAGCCCACCGTCGTGAGCAATCCATGCTGGGAATGAACTATTGATGGACCCGTATTGTACAGCAAAAAGCAACCGGTGCCATAGGTGGCCTTCGCTTGGCCCTTGGACAGGCACTGTTGACCCACCAGCGCTGCCTGCTGATCACCCAAATCCGCTGTGATGGGTATGCCCTTCAGCGAACCCGCAGCAATGACGCCAAAATGCTCGGCGCTGGAGCAGATTTCTGGTAGAATACTTCTTGGCAGTCCGAAGAATTTTAGCAGATTTCCATCCCATTGCAGCGTCTCGATGTTCATTAGCATAGTGCGTGATGCATTTGTCACATCTGTCTTGTGCACACCTCCGTTCACGCCACCCGTTAGATTGTACATCAGCCAGGTATCAATGGTGCCGAACATGGCGTCTCCTGCATCCATGGCCCGCTTCACCGTCGCCACATTATCTCTCAGCCAGCGCAGTTTAACGCCCGAGAAGTATGGCGAAAGCGGCAGACCACACAATGGTCGCAAATAATTAATGTTGCGCGCATTATTCGGTATTGTCTCCAGCAAATCCTCGACAGTGCTGGTGGTGCGATTGTCCAGCCAAATAATGGCATTCGCCAACGCCTCGCCCGTATTCTTATCCCAAATCAATGTGGACTCGCGCTGATTGGTAATGCCAATTGCCAAAATATCCTGAAAATACAAATGTTTACAATTAAGAAACACATAATTATAGCAATTAATTACAAAATATTATAGTTTTATAAAGTTGTTGTTTGACCTTTAAATAACTTTATACCTAAGCTAGGTTCTTTCTGGGATCCAAGCTCTTGGCGCGAACCATAAGATTCAAATTTTCCACAGTACGGCAGCACTAAATGACTAAGACACAATAAAGGATGGCAGTACTGTACAAATAATAAACAATAAATGGCACAAACGGCTGATAAGAAAATAGAGACAAGTGCAAAAGAAGTTACCAGTGTTGTACAAGACTTTGAATTCCAATGAAACAAGTATTTAGTCATTCCGTTTTGTGCTCGCCATTTGTAACGATATGGCAGCACTAGACGGCCAATCAACAGAAAAATGAAGACAGCGAAAACCAGCTGATAAGAGAAATATATATGTATACAAAACACTACATTTAACTGCGTAACACTTGTTAAGTTTCGATCAACCTTTTGTTTGTTCGTCTCGATGTCAAACATAGTCAAAATTTTCAGTCGAAGTGTCGTCCAGATAATCAGAACCAGCAGCAGCGTCAGAAACAAACAGCAGTTGCGCATTATGTCAGCTCTACCGAGTGGCGGCTTAGCCATCGGTGGCCCGAGCATTGTGGCCGTTGGCCAGATGCAGTCCACGAACGATAAAGCCGGCAATTTGCAGCAGGTGGAAGAGCTAGTTCTGCTTGCAGCTCAGAAAAAGGCGAAAATGCTCTTCCTGCCGGAATGCTGTGATTTTGTTGGTGAGAATCGCAACGAGACGTTTCAGCTGGTCGAGTCGCTGGACGGACCGCTGATGGCCAAATACAAGGAGCTGGCCAGATGCCATCAGATGTGGTTGTCTCTGGGCGGCGTACACGAGTTAAAGGCATCCACAACAACATCACCATCATCAGATGACAAAACGGAGCAAAGGATATACAATACACACGTAGTGATCAACGATCTGGGTGAGGTGGCGGCCATCTATCGCAAGCTGCATCTGTTCGATGCGACAACGAAAGAGATACGCCTGCGCGAATCGGATACAGTGGCACCGGGCGAGCGCTTAGAGAAACCAGTGGCCACGCCGGCTGGGCAGGTGGGTCTGCAGATTTGCTATGACCTGCGCTTCGCAGAGCCCGCACTGCTGCTGCGCAAACTGGGCGCCCAGGTGCTCACCTACCCGGCAGCCTTTACCCATGCGACGGGCAAAGCCCACTGGGAGATTCTGCTTCGTGCTCGTGCCATTGAGACGCAGTGCTTTGTAATCGCTGCAGCACAGCAAGGATGGCATAATAAGAAACGCCAGAGCTGGGGTCACGCCATGATCATCAGTCCATGGGGCGTCGTTCTTGCGGACTGTGGCGGCGAGGAAAAGCTAGCCGTGGGTATAGCCGAGATCGACTTGTCGCAACTGGCCAAGATATACCAGAGCATGCCCTGCTTCGAGCATAGACGCAACGACATCTACAGCTTGACCGCCTTCAATCTGAGTCCATCCAGTGCGGAATATGGACAGGATCGCGCCTTTGCAAACAACACCGTGGACAAGCGAACCATATTCTACGAATCCGAGCACTGTTGGGCCTTCACCAACTTGCGCTGCGTCGTCAAGGGTCACGTGCTGGTCTCCACGAAGAGGATTACTCCACGGCTCAATGGACTCAACTGTGCAGAAGTGACGGATTTATTTGCCACTGTTTGTATAGTGCAACGAATGCTGGAGGCTATCTATGGCACCACCTCAGCGACGGTCACCGTGCAGGATGGCGCCAATGCCGGTCAGACAGTGCCACACGTACACTTCCATGTTATGCCCCGTCGCAATGGGGACTTCGGGCACAACGATCAAATCTATGTGAAGCTGGACGAGCGAGTTGAGAATCTGCCACCACGCACGCTCCAGGAGCGCATTGACGAGGCGGAAATCTATCGCACCTTCCTGCGTAAATGTTGCATATAAGCATCAGCATAATCCTTTCTCTATACGTGTCCACGTGTTTGTCAATAAAAGATCGTTTTAATAAGGTACACCTAGTCGCGATGCTTGCTGTTCATTCATGTCTAACCCCTTCCATGAAAGCCGTAAAATAATGCTCACCTTGACTTTGCCACCTAGTGCAACGAGCTTTTTGCATGCCCCCTCAATGCACTCGCTGACAGTGTTGGTAATGACCCGCGGATCCTGTTCGCACCAACCTTCCTTCACAAAAATGGACGGCACCTCGATTTGATGATAGCAAACAATATCATCGGTGCCTGCCCGAAAGATCATAAATCGTGCCGATGTGGTGCCCTCATCGATGGCGCCAATAAAGGGACCACTCATGTTTACATCCGCTGACTCGTTGCCGGTTTCCATTGTCCAAGCTTCCTTTCTTTTTATTTTTATTTGTTTGGGTTACGTATGCACAGACACTAAGTAAACCAGCGAAATTTGTTGTTCGAGCTTCACTCTGTGTTGGCTTTACAACTGCTGTTCGATTGTCGCAGACATTTTAGTACACGATTACGATAAGAGATAAGGAACAGCCCCTCGGTTATTGGCAAAGCTATTTGTACTATGTACCCGATACCTATAAAAACCTGTTTTGCAAAACGTAAATATTTATTGCGAATATGCGTATGAAAGCGAATTAAGAAAAACGACGTTTATGCAGTGATAAGTGCGTGACTAGTATATACAACCAAATATATGATATTTTCAGCTATTATTTTTATAAAATTAAATTTATTAAACCCGTAAAAAAGTAAATGTAAAATTAATTGCGTTTAGTTAGCAATTAATTATGATATGCACATTTTACAGCACTATCAACCAGTGTGCACACAAAGGAGCAATAAAGTTATTCTGAGTAAAAGCGATTACGGTCACACTTAAAGCGGTGTCTCGCAGCTGGCTAGTAAACGACAAATGTTTGGAAATGCATTTCATTTAGATATTAACAATTGCTAATTGATCATGTCCATATCGGAGCAGCATCGCTCAGGATTGCGCGATCTACTGTGTAATGAAACAAATATACCCGTGCTGCTGCAACTGGCAAGGAGTGTAACAAAAAATGTGTGCAGCATCGATGAGCCCGAGGGTAAAAACAAAAAACAAAAAAACATTACGAACAAATATGAACAAATTTTCTCTCTCTCACAGAGGCTTTAGGTTACCTTATAACACAGGTCGGCGACACACACAAACTTCTACATAAGCGACATATCACAAAAGATTTGTTATTTAGATACCTGAACACACGTTTACCTGGCACCTCGACAGACTTCACAAAAGCCGATTTGGTTATGAAAATAATCCAGTATTGGGACAAACAGTTAAATGGGGCAGTTTCAAAAGCTCCGGACTCCACTCATGCGGACGCACCCTTAATGCAGATAGCTAACGAACAGGACTACCCAATACATCTGATGGCACGCAAATTTGGTGAATGGTTTTTCAACAAGTATAATTCTGATAGCTTAATTCTGTCCGATCTCTGGAGCGATGCAGCTCTGGAGATGAAAGTCATTGCGGATGATGGAGCCAGCGACTTTGAATGTTGCAGCGCAGAGCAGGTGCTCGAATGCCTAGTCAAAGCTAAACAGACATTTGGCTTCTACTTCAACCCTAACTTATCGCATTCTGGTGTCCAAGGACGCATCGATCCCTACGGCCAAGTTATAGTGCTCTGCTGTGGCACACTGCACTCAGCCGAACGCTCTGTGGGTGTATTCGAGTGCGCCTTTGGACTACTGCGCGATCCGAACGAAGGCAACAACTGGAAACCCAAGAAATTCAAGTGTTTGCTGCGCAGCGAACTGAGTCCGCCTCGATTACACACCTTGGATGAAAGCAAGACGCTACAATTAGCATTAACTCTGCCCACGCCAACTGACGCACTTGACTAGGTGGTTTCAATTGAACTATACGACTATGAATAACCTAGAATTAAGGCTGACTGATTGATATTTATTTGTTTAAAAAAAACTAAGCAACTAGTCTGTGAATGAAAATTTTCAGTTTTTTTCTATCTGAAATTTCTAATTTCTTTTGTATGCTATCTAAAGTATGTAAATGCTGGCTCAACGTGAAAGTGAAAAAAAAATATGTATATATATAATATGAATATATGTATACAATACTCTAGACTCTTGGCAAAAAAAAGTTGTTCAAGAAAAATCTTGGACCAATAAAAATGATAAAGATTTGC